AAAAAACAAAAAGAAGAAAGAAAAAAATGATTTCCCCTTTACAATGCTATACAGCAGTGACCACTTTTAGTAATATCAAGTTTGCATAGTTATGAAACACAAACACGTAGTGTAGTATTATAGTTGCAGGAATCTTAAAATCTATACTGTATAGTGCTGGACATAGATGTACTGAAATACTAGGCAATGGCTTTTAACATGCAGTTTTTACCATAATCTTAATTTTAAATTTTATTCACCATAATAGCCATAGGAGGCATATATGACTACCAGCAAAATACTGAATTTGTCTGGATATTTTAAGAACCTGTGCTAAAAGATGTTATTGTGGTTGTTTTTTTGGTGCTGGGACTGGAATTCAGGACCTTGTGCTTGCCAGGTAGGCGCTGTGTGGATGAGCTATATCCCCAGCCCAAAATGATGTCACTGATAGTTGAAAATTTAGTGACTTTATATCACCAAGACATTACCAGGGTACTCCAATTGTGACCATAATAAGTGAGGCAGGAGTTAGGATTCTATGAGGCAGTAGGGATAGACGCCCCCAAATGGAGTCAGGAAACCCAAAATGCAGTCAGCTGTGTCATGCCCCTCGGGGATCTCACAAAACATCAGCCTGGGGGTCCTTTGGCTGTCAGGCACTGCCTCAGAGCAAGGTGGGGGTGCTACCGGCTCAAGGGCACATGGGGCCTGCATGGACACTGCATAGATTGGACCCCACATGGACACTGCATAGATTGAACCCTGAGAAGTATGTAGTCTGCTATAGCATAGAGATTTATTGTTTACATGATGGCCCAAGCTCCTGTCTGCATCCCTTAAAAACCCACAGACAACGAGTCCTTGCTGTATCCTACTCAGAGCCTCCTCCTGGCAGGTGGGAGCTTTACTTCCTGGCCTTTCTGCTTTTCACGTTCTTGCTTTTATACCTCCTTCATCCAAGGTTTCATTCTTCATTGCCATGGGATACAACCCTGGTGTTCTAGTAACACACTTCCCTTGAGTGTTAGGTGTCCATTTTCATTCAGGTTTTAGTTGCCCAGGTTGTGCTTCAACTCCTGATCCTCCTGCCTCAGCCTCCCAGAGTGCTGGGATTATGGGCCTGTACCACCCAGCCCAACCTTAGTTGATCTTCAGATTCCTGCATCTGCAAACCAGGCTGGTACATACTGAACATATTTGAACTTGTTGAACACATTTGTTGAACAAATTTCCTGCCCAGATTGGAAAAACTAAGAATATATTTTGAAGAGTGGATTTGCTGGGCTACGAATTGTGCAAATCTTAACATTAGCAGATATTATCAATTTGCTCTCTGAGATGATTGTACAGAATAGATATTGATTTTTTATTGATTGATTGATTGAATGTCTTTTTGAGACAGGGTCTCACTCTGCAGTTCAGGCTGGCCTTGAGCTCACTTTGTAGCCCAGCCTGGTCTCAAACTTGCACGATCCTCCTGCCTCAGCCTCGCAAATGCTGGGATTATAGGTGTGCAACACCATGCCCGGCTAGAACCCATACTGAGAAGAATGGCCTTGAGTGTACTGACCTACAAAGTTATGCCACCAGCGAGAAAGGCATCCGGGAGAGAATCTTCTCCTTGGTGCTTTCGCTGAACCACGGAGCCCACTGGGGTGCTGCTGGGAGTCCATCTCCTTCCCCCAACCGTGAAAGTGGCAGGAAGTGAGGCGTGGCCCCCACAGGACACGAAAAGACAAGAGACAGAGAGCAAAGGCCAAGAAAATGTTCCTCCATAAGTGTAGTTTCTGATAGTACTGTGTACCTGCCTTCTACCCAGACACCGAGAGGCATGAAGTTTTATTTGATTAGGTGGGTCTGTCTCCAGCAGTCTGGGTCTTTTTTCTGTTCCCAATGTCAAACTCCACACCAGGAACAGTAGGACACATGGCCAATAGCTTGCTCATGGATGAGACTAACTACCTGGACACTCACTGGATTAATTCTGTTCAGAATTTATATTCTCATTGACATAGTCAGGAGGAGAAATGAAGTTTTAGCTGTATCTGGCACACTTATGAGACTAAATATATATTTATTGAGTGAATAAAAAATAATTTGAAAAAAAAGAGATAATTTGAATTTAAACCACCCGAACATAATGCTATTGTTTTTTGTTTTTTTGTTTTTTTTTTTTCAATCTTTGGCCTGATGCAAAGTCTATAGTCAAATTATAACTGTTTTTTTCAAAGTAATACCGTTCGATCTGTTTTGGGACTGCCAAGACCCTGAGATAATTTAACAGGCCATTTCACCGACACCATTTAAATTTTTCAAGACAACTAAAGGAAAACTTAAAAAGAGAGAGAGACAGCCGGGTGTGGTGGCTCATGCCTGTAATCCCAGCACTTGGGAGGCTGAGGCAGAGGGATCGCTGCGAGTTCCAGGCCAGCCTGGGTTACAAAGTGAGTTCAAGACCAGCCTGAAAATGCAATGAGACCCTGCCTCAGAAAAAACAAAAACAAAAAGAAAAGACAGATTGTCTCACCAAGAGAGGGAAAGATTCTTTTAAATTGAAAGAATAAGATTGTTGTGCAAAAAAATACAGTACTAATAGGAAGGGGCTCGAGCGGAGACAGTAATAGGTTGGTACACTAGATGGCGCTTTAGTCTTCTGAAGTCACGTTTTTGTTTGCTCTGAAGGAACACGTGCTGCCTTTCTCGCTGTGCGCCGTCCGTTTCGTAGCGCTGTGCGCACCGCATCACTGCTCAGGACACCTGGTAAGTGGGCGATAGAGATTATTCGCTGCATTTAGACGGAGAAGTTGAGTAAGTTGCCCAAGGTCACACAATTTGTACGCAGGATAAACGATGTTTGAATAGTTTGATTCCAGAGTCCCAGCTCTTAAACACTGTCGTATAGTTTTCTGAATTCTAAGATTCCATGAATCTTTAATTTTTTTAAATTTTTGCTTGCGTTTGTGTCTTTTCAGAACTATTACCACACGATATAGATCACATCATATAAAAAAAACTAAAAAAAACTTCATGGAATAAAAGCCAAACACCAGAGAAAAGAGTGGGCTACAAAGGGGGCCCACAAATACTTAAGGATGTTTATCCTAACTCAAATCACCAGCCGTTCCCCAACACTGCAGAACGTTTCAACCCAGTCCTGGAATCCAGGTCGGGACTCGGCGGGCCGTGGGAACCCGCGGCTACGGCGCATGCTCAGAGCGCGCCGCCGGCTCAGGCGCTCCCGCAACCACGCCCACCGCGCCCGCAAGGCCTGCCGGGAGGGCGCCCATCTTCTTTGAGCGCGTTAGTTAGGCCGGCGGCGCCGAGGAGTGGGGCGGTCCTGGGGTTGTTCGTGAGCCTGTGGCGCGCGTGCGGG